TGCGCACTTTTCCAAAATATTTATCGGCAAAATGCCGCGCTATTCGCCGGCAAAAATCAAACGACCCGAGGCTAAGGATACCAAAAAACAATCAACGTTGAACAAATACATAGTTAAGGGAGAGGAGTCGACAGCCAAGAGCAAAGAGAGCGCCGAAGTCCGAGCTAAACTGCTGGCCGAGGAAATGGAACGGGTGCGACTCGAGAAGATAGCCAAATGTGCGGAGATGGAGCGAAAGAAGGCGGAGAAAAAGGCTGAACTGATGTTGCGTGTGGACCAAGAATGCCACGAACTGACGGCTAAGACAGACGACCTGGAGCGCAGCGATCAGTCCGTGTTGCCCACATATCATCCAATTATCACAATCTTACCAGATCATCTTCTGGGTGATGCATTTATGTTACGCGAATTTATGCACACCTATCGCGGACTGCTCTCCGGCGTAGAGGTCTTCCGCCAGAATCTGAGCTTCTACGAGATGTCGCGCGCGTTTAGCGCCCGCGAGGTGGCTGGTCCACTCTCTGATATACTGCTCGTACTGCTGGGCACAATCTTTGATCTGCAGAAGGAGGAGGAGGARGAGTGCCCGGTTAGGTACTCGGTGGGGCGAAAGCCCTTTACGCGGGAGCCCTACATCAGCATGTCGAATGCCTCGCACACGCAGCACTATTGTAAGCGACACTTCTCCTTCAATCTGAACGAGCTGCCAATGGACGCGCTCACCCTGAGCGAGGTTCTGCGCCTGCATCTGTTGGCCTCCGGAGCGTTCGTGCAGGACAGGCCCGAAAAGTGGCGGATTATGTACCGCAATGGGTATTCCTCGATCGAGGATCCAGGTCTCCACTTGCGTTTGAAACACGCTCACATTCTGCGCGCCCTCAGAACGCAATCGATTGGTCAGCTCGACTTTGTGGATATTATGCGTGTGATCAACTGCTTGATGGCGCAGATCTTGACCTACTCCGGCACTATCAACGTCATCGAGGAGCGCATGGAGCGTACGGCGAAGGCAAAAAGCGAATTGCGCGCCCTCGTCATTACGGAGAACAAGCGTCTGGCCGCCGTCGAGATGGCCAAACGCAAGCTCACCAACGAGCACAATCAGCAGTGCATCTCGGACGACATCAAGCAGGATGCGGAGAAGAAACAGGCGCTGGTGGATCAGCTGAATCGACGCATAGCCGACTTGACAGCGCAGTCGGATCGGGAGCAGCGCAAGCATGAGTATCAGGTGCTCAAACTCCACTCGGAGCTGTTTAACTTCTTGATATATCTGGGTACGGATCGGTGCTACCGCAAGTACTATGTGCTGGAGTCCATGCCGGGCATTTTCATAGAGCATATGCCCGATACCATGATGGACACGTGCTTGGCCCAGCCGCCGGTGAATAAGTCGCCTGCCGAGCTGCGCAAACAGGCGCAGCTGCCAAAGGTGCGTAAGGATTTGCGCATCTATCTGGTGAAACTTTATAGCGACGATGATAAGAAGAGACGCAAACCCAACAGCAAGCAGTCCCTGGAGAACAAAGAGAACCAGGAGAATCGGCTCAATGGCCACGGGCCGGGTTCATCGGCGGAGAGCATGGAAATCGGTGGCGGAGAAGATGAGGAGCAGGCCCCGCCCACACAATTCGAGCTGCTCATGTGCAGTGGCGATATCTCCAACTGCATTGTCCACAGCGAGCAGCATCCACAACGAAAGGTTTGGTCGTACATATATCAGCCGGAAGAGATCGATGCATTGCTCAGATCCCTGAATCCACTTGGGTGGCGGGAGTCAGAGCTGCTCGAAGAGCTCACCCAGATGCGCTCGCTAATCGAGCAGCATGTGAAGAACTGCCCGCTGGACCTTCTCACTCTGGACACTGACAAGAAGCGAAGCAAGTTCATGAACGCCATGCACTCGGAGACGCAGCGAAAATACAACCAGGCTAATTTTGGACTGCCCGAGGGCACAGACCTCAACGAGGTGTTGCGTCTGCATCTCGTGGATTGTATTCTGCAGTTGGAGACGGACATCTACACCGGCGACCTGGGCAAACTGAAGGTCAAGGATATGGAGCGATGGCGACAGCAATTGCTGGAAGATAACTTTGATGCTCAGACGAAGCTCCAGTGGGGGCCTGGTCAGATCTCCAGCGAGACGGGGGAGGTGGACTCGGACAACGAATCGCACGAGGATTACTATGATCATGATGATGATATTAAGGATGCCCATAGTCAATATACAAAGAAGAGATATGGCAAGTTCACCGATCCGGGACAATGTCTTCTCGATGGCGAAGACTCATCCTCCGCAGAAGCCCAGGCCCAGCAAACCCAGGTGCGAAATCTAGCCAGTGCCCTGCTGCAAGTGGAACAGGCAATCGGGCGTCGTTTCCTAAAGGAGCCATTCGGCGTGACCAAGAAACGCCAAGACGCCAAGCTGGAGCACCAGAAGTTCATCAGCGAGCTCAATTTGTATCAGTGGGAAATATCTCTGATGGAGAGCACCAGCTATTCGCAGATATTCCTACATCTGAGCATTCTGCACGATTCCATACTGTGGAACCATTCCACGAGCAAGTCGCTGTGCAAGGTGTGCCGGCGCCGAACCGACCCGGAGAAGATGCTGCTCTGCGACCAATGCAACGGCGGCACTCACATGTTCTGCATGAAGCCAAAGATGCGCACAGTGCCGGAGGGCAACTGGTATTGCCACACCTGCGTCAAGAATCTGGGCCTGACGAATGCCACAGATGACAAGCAGCAGGAGCAAAATAAGCGCGTGCCGAGAAAGAAGCGCAAGTTCATTGTGGACGAGGTGGATGAGGATGTCGATGAAGGTGTTGCCGATAATGATGAGGACGACGGCAACGAGGACGACGAAGAAGAGAACATTGAAGAAACTGAACTCAGTGACGATCCGGAAAGCGTGGCTTCTTCAACGTCCGCCAAGGCTAAAGCGAAAGTGGCTGTGCGCTCTAGCGGACGTCGCAGTAGCCGGCGACTAAAATCCAAAGAAATCGAAGATGCACTCGAGAATAATGAGGACGAGGAGGCCGAAAATGATTCGTCTGTGGAAGCAGATGAGAATGACACAGAAGAAGAAAACGATGAAGAACAAACGTATGTTCTAGCGTAGATATAGAGAGGGTGTTGAGGACCTATTTAATTAACCCATCTTTCTGTCCACAGCGAGGAAGAGGCGGTTTGCCAGATCTGCTTCTACGATGGCTGCGAAGTGTGCTGTTCACGCTGCTCCGAGTGGTATCATCTGGAATGTGTCAAGCTAAAGCGTCAGCCCCGCACAGACTTTGTCTGCAAAAAGTGCAAAGGAAACGAAACATCGCGTACCCGACGTCGTCCCAGTCATGGTACTGTCATGGATAAGCCTAGTATAGTAATAATATATTATATTTATGAACATATCTCTTACAGCTGATGGCGATGCCGATGATAGTGAGGATCATGAGGAGCCGCAAGCCAAACGTTCTCGTTCCTCACGCAACTCGCTCCGGATTTCGCTAGACAAGTCATCGAACAACAATAATAACAACAACACCAGTACCAACAACAACAATCGTCGTTCGGGCCGACGCGCCAATGACAATCTGCCACTAAACAGCGCCGCCTTATACGATCTGCTGGAGCAGACAATGAAGCACCAGGCGGCGTGGCCTTTCCTGCGACCAGTGCTGCCCTCCGAAGTCCCAGACTACCATAAGATAATTAAGACGCCCATGGATCTGGCCAAGATCAAGTCCAAGCTAAATATGGGTGAATATCAATTAAACGAGGAATTGCTTAACGACATTCAGCTGGTGTTCAAAAACTGCGATCTTTATAATGTAGAGGGCAATGAGATATACGAGTGAGTAGCCGTCCACGCCTTAAATTATATATTTAAATACAAATCCTTCATGATATTAATATCTTCATTTCCTCTTCAGCGCTGGCTGCAAACTGGAGCGTTTTGTAATGACTCGCTGCAAGGATCTCTTACTGCCGTTCAGACCCAGTGACATGAATGCCGACGGCATATGTTGAGCCGATTGCTAAGATCTTGAGGGATCTAACGTGTAAATTAATTCATTAGATGTAGGCTACAGAATTTGATCAAGCCAGCGTACATTATTAGACAGTATTTTTAGCTTACCATTAATCAGTTTAAGACTTAAAACATAATCAGCCGCATGATAAAGCACACGCCGGCTATTCAGCCTATGTAAGTGTATTTTATGTTTCTTATTTACATGAATTGCCTGTCTGCATTTCAGCATGATTGTTCGAATCGCAAAATATAGAAAATAGCATTTAATTACTTTTAAGAATTTATTATTAATATTACGCATAATTATTGTAGACAAACACACAGAGTTCACAGATTTTAGCATTCAATAAAATGAAAACCGAAAACTTGCAAACTTCTTATCCTCAGAACCGTTTACCATATGTATTGAGTGAATAGTCTCATACATAGACACATGCATGTTTATTCATGAACATTCGTTTCGATGCGTGCCCAATTCTTTGAGTAGTAATTACCATCTATTATAAAACATTTACAGTTATATGTTATTGATCTTTTCATATTATGTTGTTAGATCGGTTGGCATTCATAGCAAATTTTTATTTCTCCATTGCTCACACATTATTATTTAAGTTTGTTTTGTTTGATTAAGACATCTGTGTTTTACTTTCAATCACATTTAACATTCAAATTTAATTTGCAAGTTTTGATGAACAAAAAAAAAACTTGTATTTGCTATTTTGTAAGTTTTATTTTTGTTTTGTGCTTACATCTAATGAATACATGAAAAATTATACTCAGAATGTTGTCAAAGTTTCATTACTTCTTGTTTTTGTTGCATTAGTTTTGTTTCAGAGATCAAAAAATTAAAAGAATTCCATTGATAATTTTTTCTTTAATTAAAATAAAATAAATTTTGAAATTAAAATAAAGTTTTTGAAAAACTGCAAACCTTTTCCAAACAAATATTAAAAATAATAAAATATAAAATTTTCTATAAACTTCACATTAACTTGATACAACCAAAGTGCAACAGTTTTTGAATGAAATAATGAGTTTAGGATTCCTTTCTTATCAGAAGTATCGGTGCATGGCTAATTCTATGCCAAGTAATGTACACTCTAAATTATTTAATAACACAATCGTAGCCATAGTGGGCGATTTGGTTCAGCCCAATGATCAAAGTTCAACTTTCTACTTGTAGAGCTTAATATATATACTAGTCCATTGTATTTGAAGAGTTTGTTGCAATCCATTGATTTACGATAAACGCTCCATTCTCTCTCTTTTTTTCGGCTTACCAGCTGTAAATAGTCTAGGAAACCTCTGGGAAAAAGCTTCCCGGATGTGTTTAAATATTCGTCTGGTTCGAAGAGGAATTGGAGGAGGTTGTCGTCTCCGGGTAGCATGCGCCAGTCATGAGGCCATTCCTCTTCTTGTTGCTGGTTGCGGCAGCCGGTGGACTGTTGTTGTTAGCCTCGTTTGGTTCCAGACCGAATTGAAGCGAGTTTGAGGTGCTCGGAGCTTGAGACAATTGTGCTTCCATTGATGTGTTGGATGTGTCGTCGCTGCTGCTGTTGGTGTTGTTGTCCTCGCCCATATTCTCATGATTGATCTCCACCTCGTTATCATTATCAATCTCATCATCGTCATCATCATCATCGTCCAGCCATTCCGTATCATAGGACAAGGCATTGTCATTCTCCTGTCTGCCACGGCGCGGACGTCGCACTTTGCGCCTCCGCTTGATGGCAGCGAATCGCAGCCGCATCAGCTTACGCTTACGCTCCAGCTGCTCGAAATTGGCCTGCAGGGAGCCAACTGTGGAGAGAAATAGAAATTTATTTTGGTGGCGACTACTTGACCAAGTCATGCAAGAGAGAGAAATGTACACATAAATCGGAGGCTTGACTCCGCTTGGGCTAATAATGGCTCGACACTTGCCAATAATTGGGGGTATCGCCGCGTGGGTGTGGGCGTGGTCAGGGCACCATTGTTAGCCAGCGAGCATAGAGTCAGCTGTCAAGTTGCTGACGGTTGGCAAACAAATACGCCAGCCCAGGTGTCAACGCCTCATTGTTTGCCCACAAAGCCATTGTCCTGCCTGCAGCGATTGAGCTGCCGCTGCCGCTGGCCAAACAGTTCAGTTGCGTTCACAATGCCGCTGACAGCAGAGTTAATGATGTTTATCCTGGTGGCAACAGCGACTCTAACAATTGGCCAGCACAATGGCAGCTTGGATAACTATGCGCAAATCTTTGAGCCCCTGCTCAGCCATCTGGACGGCACCTTGGAGCTGCACTTGAGAAGCCCGCGCGATGCGGACCAGGACTTTGTGCAGTTTCTACTGAGACAGCAGGGGAGTGCAATGAGAGTGCATGTGGGACAAGATGTGGATGTATACCAGCACTCAGAAGATGCACTGCATCATTTCTATATCTTTAACCATGTATATCAAATGCAACAGTACCTCAGGTTGTTCATCAACCCCGGCGGTTTCTATATCCTAGCAATCGAAGGCTTTACAGGGGAGGAGCGAAAGAATTTGCAGCAATTCATGGAGACAGTCTGGCGGCGACATGGCCACAATCGAGTCTACTATGTGCCGCTGGCAGGCCAAGGAGTTCTACTCTACAATCCGTTTCTGCAGAGTGTTGTTCCCGCTGAGGATGAGCATAGCTTTGAGCGCATCTACTCGAATCTCTATGGCTATCCATTGCGCGCCTACATCTTCGATTCGGTGTACTCCGCGCTTTTCGGAGATGGAGACACCGAACAGGTCTTACGCGTCACCGGGCCAGATGCCATCGCGGCGGAGACAGTTGCCAAACACCTGAACTTTACGCTGAACTACGCGTGGCCAGATGACGAGTTCTTCGGGTGAGTATATGGGAGGATTCGCTTTTGTAGTCCCTCATTTAATATGCCTCCATCCAGTGGACGACTGCCCAATGGCTCGTATACTGGCGGCGTGGGTCGGGCCCATCGCCGTGAGCTGGACGTCATCTTTGCCGGCTTCTTCATAAAGGATTATCTGACGACGCAGATCCAGTTCACCGCCGCCGTCTACATGGATGACCTGTGCCTCTTCGTGCAGAAGGCCCAGCGCATTCCCCAGTCCATTGTGCCCCTCTTTGCCGTACGTGTGGATGTCTGGCTCTGCTTTTTCGTCGTCGGCTTCGCTTGCACCTTCGTCTGGTGCTGTTTGCGGGGCTTGAATCTGGGCCTGGGCATCGAGCGCCTGTGCGATCAGAAGGACAACTCGGCAAATGATCGCTACATTTCCATGGCCTGGCGCATCTTCATTGACACCTGGGTCGTGTGGGTGCGTGTCAATGTGGGCAAATTTCCGCCGTACTATTCAGAGCGTATTTTCCTGGCCTCCCTGTGCCTGGTGAGCGTGATTTTTGGAGCACTGCTCGAGTCCAGTCTGGCCACGGCGTATATACGGCCGCTCTACTATCGAGACCCCAATACGTTGGCCGAGTTGGACGAGCTAAATTTGCCCATCTACATAAAGCATCCGGCGTTCAGGGATGATCTGTTTTATGGCCACGATTCGCAGGTCTATCAGCGGCTGAACAAGAGGATGAAGCTGGTGGGCGAGGGTGAGGATCGCTTGATCAACATGGTCTCCACGATTGGCGGATTCGCCGGCGTGACACGCGCCGCCAGCCTCGAGCTGACCGACAGACGCTACATTATGACTCACAAGGTGCACAAGATACCCGAATGCCCCAAGACCTATCACATTGGCTACGTGCTGCCGAAGCCATCGCCCTACATTCAGGGCATCAATAAGGTGCTGCTGCAGCTTTTGGCTGGGGGACTGTTGGAGCACTGGATAAGCGACATGAAGGAGCGTGCCAAATGGAATATACACCAATATCCTGAGTACCTGGCCGAGCTGGGCGCGGCAAACTGGAAAGTACTGACCCTGACGGACGTACAACTGGCCTTCTATGCCCTGTCGATTGGCTGCATTCTCGCTGCATTTGTTTGGTGTTTCGAGTTGATCTACAAATAAAGAAGCTTGCTTGGATTTACTCACTCATTCGAAGTTCCGGCGGCTTGCGGGGGCTGCGGCTAGTGGCCTGGGATATCGACTCCCGACGCAGGCGCTCCCGAGAAGCCGCCTCTGCCGATGTGGTGGGTAGCTCGTCATCGCCGAACAATCGATGCGTCTCCTCCAGCCATTCGCTGATGCGAGCTTGGGTGGCCACCTGTCGCTGCTCGCCCAGCAGCCGAGCTAGCAGCTGCTCCACATTTCGATGCTGACCTCCGGTGCCCTTGACAGCCAGCTGCAGCAGGGCTCGCCGCTTTTTTGCTATCAAATAGAAAATGCGATTCGGATGGGTCTGCCAGCTGAGCTCGCTGACATTGGGCGTGTCGCCATCGCTCTCGTCCGACTGGGTGCTGCTCCCACTGTGTTCCGTTGAGGTGCGCGAGGAGCTGTCGCTAGCCGTGGTGGTCTGCTGGCCCATGGCGTTCGCATTGCTGCTATTGTTGGTCCAGGTTTCCAGCTCACGCTGCACCAACGTATCGAAAAATGCCAACATCACCTGATCCTCCTCCATATTGCGCATGCTGAAGTCTTGGGACACATGATCCGTGGCATTTCGATGGAGCGGGCGAGTGCAATGGGGCGTGTCCGAGGGCTCCGTCAATGCGCCCTCCCAGCCCTGCTGCGCAAATGGACTCCAAAACTAGACGAGAAGGAAAAACTTGAATTATTCGTATATAAGACTTGACAAATCCTCCTCTCACCTTGATAATCTTTTCCACGCCCGACGAGGCCAGCAAGCAGCGCTGCCGATTATAGCGCACCTGATTAACTATTGATCGATGACCGGTCAGGATAACAGGTGATGTATCAATCCACTGATTCTTCTTCTCCACTGGATGCAAAAAAGGGGGCCACTTTATTACCTATGCTCAATAGAGGTCATGCAAAACTCACAGTTGACTCCGTCTAATCGCCACATGAACATATTGAAATTATCTGAACCGGAGACCACCAGCTCGTCGTGGGGGCCCGCAAAGGTGCAGCTCTTCATGGTGCAGGAGTTGAAGTACTCATCATGGTAAAACGAACACAACGGGTCGGATGAGCTTGGATTGTATAATATGGGCGGCAAGCGACGATGCAGAGTGAGCAGCAGACTTCCATTGCAATTGAAGCGCACGCTCATGCAGCTTGGAGATTCTGTGATGTAGTTATACTGACGAAAAGGCCTTGAGGAGTAGAGGAACAGCATTATATATATAATATAATATAATCCCTAGAGTCAAGGCCAGTGCCAGCCAAGTCAACTCACTGTGTATTGTTGCGCATGTCCCAGAGCTGTGCGCCTCGCCTGGCATTCGCGGTGGCCAAATAGTTGCCATTCAGCGGATGAAACTCCACCGCATTGAAGGGCGTGCGGAAATTGGCAACGATAAATGGTTCTGTTTTGCCCACACGCATGTCGTAGACGAGGATCTCACCGTGCTCCGTGGCCACGCTGAAGAGATTGGTGCTGGTGCGGTCCACGCTGAGCCCATAGACGGGCCCGTCATGTGAAAAGTAATTAAGATTCTTGCCGCTACACAGCGACGGCCACAAGAGTGGGTTAAGGAGTGAACTGGATGGGATACCAAAGTCACTTACGTGCACAGGTCGTGTTGTATGACCAGGTCATCGTTGCCACCCGAGAACACGTATTTGCTGAGCGTGTCGAAGCCCAGGCAAAATATGTTGCTGGCGTGCTCTCCGTACATGGCGGCTGGGAAGTCCTCGGTTACATTGCCAAGCGCCTGGTCAACATTCCAGAGCAGCACGCGCTTATCGTCGCCGCCTGCACGAAAGTGAGAGCTCTAATTAGCACCGCCTAGGCGACAAAGCAACAGGTAGGTACTCACCCGACGCCAGGTATTCACCGCCCGGGCTAAACTCGAGCGCATTGACGCAGCCATAGTGCGCCATCAGGTTGCGTTGGTATAGATTCTCGGCAGCATGCAGTCGCTGCCTGAAGATGCCGGCCTCCAGATTGCTACGCGGATGATCCAGCTCGCGGTACCGCAACGCATGATCCAAATTCAGGCTGGCAGCCGGGCCCTGTCGCAGGTAGCTCATGCTGCAATTGATAATCAGTTTTCTTTGCTCTCGTTAATCTCGTTTAGGTTCTGCTCCACTGCTCCACTCCCTCCAGTTCCCGCTGCACTGCACCAATGCACCACAACTCCCTGTCGTTCTAGTATCAACTGTGTTCGGCTTTACATTCGCTGTCGTTGCAACAGTGTTGTATACATTTTGTGGACGCCGACGTCGCTGCTGACGTCGCCGTCGCTTTTAGATTTTCTGCGTTGGCGTTGAAAGTTTTTCAGCAAAAATATGCAAACTCATATGGGAAATTCTTCACGCACTGCTATTGTAAATGTTATTCAAATCGTTCAGTTTATTCTTTTGCTTGCTCCGTGACTTTAAGGTATTTTCTTCGCTTTTTTCCCTTTACATCAAATGGCGTTTCGATTGACTTTTTCAATGCTCAACTCCCGCAACGATTTTCTCACGACGACGACGACCACTGCGACTGCGACTCTCGACTGGTTTAATCATCGGAATATGCTTTAATCAAAATGAAAACAGAAAGCATACGAGAGGCAGCTCGAAACAGCTGTTCGCCGAGCTGAATGTAAATTAGAGATGAGCGCGTGCCAGGCACACGCACGAAGCGCGACTGTTATCAAATTTCAAATTGGACAAATTTCCCTTCAGTGGCAAAGTTAGCTAATGTTACATTTTTCGATTAATGTGAATTGAATTCTAGCGAAATTTGTTTTTCTCAGAATACATCGACGCTTAAAAGTAGAATTTTGTGGTTATGTTTTAATAATTTTGTTGAAAGCATTAGCTATGCAAGTTCGGTTTATAAATACAAAAAGAAAATACACTAAATACACACACGTATGTATGTATGTGCACTTATACAATATATTACTGTAATGTTAATAAACTAGTTGAATATACCAATATTCATTCAGAGAAGTCTTATATTTTCCAATTTTTAAATATAAATCGTGGTTGCTATGATTTTTAAACAATTTTAAAATTATAAATTTGATTAAATTCCCACAGTTTCTTTTAGAATAGAATGTAAATTATATGTAATTAAAGTTTTATGTTTTTTTGAATGAAATTCCTTGTATTAAGAGACAGAAAAACACTAAATGGAAAACCTCGAAAATAATAAAGAACTAATTGGTATGAAGTTATACAGATACATAAAAAAAAAACCCCTATATACATACATATTAAAAACTCTGCCTCGACCTCTAAAGCTTTACCGCTCGAAATTGATATAGAGAATACGCAGCATATATGCACTTACCTGCGGAATCTGCGGGAACGCCTTAAGCAGACCGTACAGCAGCACACTGACCTAATCCAGGCGTCAGTGAATTTAGTCAAGGAGATGAGTGATGTGGCCACAACGTTGGGATTGACGCAGTCAGAGCCCGAGCAGCCGCCTACTAAAATCAAACGCCTAATTATGGAGTTTGAGAACATGAACACAGCAGACAACAACTCAATCGAGGCGATTGAGCTGCGCGATCTGCTCGCCGACTTTCGTCGACTGCACGAGAGCCAATTGCTGCGCGACAGCCTGATGTGCTACAAGCGCGCCAAGGAGTCGTTCGAGAAGGTCGAGTGCATGTTGGACCAGATTGCCCAAGGTTGCCCCGACGGGAGCCAAGCATCGTCGGAGAGCAGTCAAGCGGGCGTGAGTAGCAATAGCCGCAGTCTCCGGGAGAAGATACAGGCCTTCAACAAGGCCTCGGTGATTGGACAGGATATGCTTCAGAATTTTACCCAGTGCTTTAGCAACAACAGCAGCGTGGATGTTGAGTCTGCGGACGAAGTCAAAGTGACATCCGTCACATCGAATTCCAACTGGAATTCCGGCTACGAAGGTGACGTGGACAGTGAAATGGATCCAATCACCGATGACCAGGATAGCAAACTCGAGTGATGCATTTAAAGTTATTGTCTAAATTTGTAATTGCATAGGCGTACATCATATATCAAAAACTTAGTTCTGTATTACGTGGTAAATGTTTCAAATCTGCTAATCTTGTGACAAGGCTCCCGTAAAAAATAAAAGTGTTTCTATATCTATAAATAGATAATCTTATTTACAATAAAATCATCTAGATGAGGATATCAGCAATCCGATTCGGCGGCCTGAAAGAACCGCGTATAGTTGATGGCGAAGAATATGGAGATGGCGCCGATGGCCGAGCCCAGCTGCGTGATGGCGCCCACCCAAACCAACGACTGGCCGCCTTGACCACGCATCACAGTCGTAATGCCCAGCTTGGTGTAGCTGACTACTCCGATTAGCAGCGTCCATGCGGTCACCTGCAGCGCATGATAAAGTGGATATCAATCGGAAGATTAGATTAAAATTACGTGCTGCAAACATACCACCAATACTGTGCCGATGGTCTCGTCGTAGAGCGGTGGATACGGACTCAGTACCGCCGTGGTAAATACATAGCTGGTGAGCAGCGCTGCCAGCGCGGAAAGCACATAGATCATGCGCAGGGATGTCACATACAGGAACATGGCCAGAAAGCAGGCCACCGGATTGGCAATAGCACTTAGCGTTTCAGAGAGGTGATAGGCGCGCGTTCCATACGGCGCACTCGAATAGGATTTGATGCTAGGGAACATCCCGTTGCTGAACAGAGAAATTGCGCCTATGAGCAAGAGCAGGCCAACATACTGGCAGGAGCTAAGCTTCAGTACCTGCGGCTGGTTGTCGTCCTGCCCGTACTCATACTTGTTGCCCTTGCCAACCGTGACCTGGGCATATTCGTGCCGCGCCAGGGGCAGATGATTGAGCAGCGTATAGCCAATATAGCTGAGCACCATCAAGGCAAATAATATCAAGAAGAATACCTTGGTGTCAAACAAGGGCGGTTCGGTTACTTTCTGATAGACGCCCTCGCCCGTCTCCGTCTCGTTGACCAGCACGCAGCTGCCGCTGTCGCCGATGCCCTGCACCAGAGCCGTGACGCTGGGCAGAAGGCCGCTGAGGCCCTCGCCAATGAAATAGGTGATTATGTACTGCTCCTTGAAGCGTCCCATGTAGGGCATGAAGAGTACCGAGCTGGTGCACGCATTGAGCGCCGTAAAGATGGTCAGTATGAAGAGAGCGACGCTGTGATCACTGCCCGCCAGATTCGCCGTACGGTTGTAGAAAAAGGCGGTGAACAGGCAGGACAGTGTGCCGATCATGAGGACTGCATGAATGGTCCAGCCATCATTGAGCTTCCACGGCGAGAACTTCTGGTACACAGTGTAGAGCAGCGGTCCCAGATTGCCTATCTGCACCATGACGCTCAGATAGGACGGCAGACTCCAGCCCTCGGGCGCCTCGTTGACCAGCAGCGGCAGCTGTATAAAGGTGCCATTGACGCCCAGCCAGGTGCCGATGCCGAAGCATATGGCCAGCAGATCGACAATCAGATTGCGATTCTTGAAGACGCCGCCGCTTTTATGTTCCATCTTTTTGCTAATGAAGCGCCAGTCGAAGAAAGCGCTCAGCTCACTGGGCTCGTCTGTGGCGCATCTGTGAATGGTGTGTAAATTATTCAGATAAGACGCGGTTACAACATAGTAACTCTATAATTCGGATGTGCTTAGAATTTGCTCCAACTATACATATATGTAGGTAAATGGGGCCAGCGGGTCTCTGGGCTGCGATTTGATAAATTACACAATGCGTGGTATGGAAAGGGTATCGACGGATAGGCTAAGGGTATAAAGGACCTAACGAATTGAGTTTACTTGTAATTATTATTATGAATTACATAGCTGCTCAAAGAATTGAAAGAACTAGAAGAAAGATATAAAAGATATCTAGTTTTTAATATAAAATATTTCAGATTAAGTGTATTAAAACTTCGTTGTAGCTACCATTTGCACTTTCCCATGCTTGCTAAGCTTGAAGATAGTGAAAACTTATGGCTTTGTGGTGAATATACATATGTACATACATATGTACAAACGTATGTATATACTTTTTAGAAGACTGACGCGACGTTTTTATATGGGTGTAATTGAATGTACAAGACAGGTAAAACTAAAAAGATTGTTGACCTCTGCTGAAATATTATAAGCTTATTGCGTAATAGGCATAAAAGGGATTTCTGTAAATATACAAGCATACATATATTGGTATACAAATGTATACAATATATGTATCATTATAATTATAATCGATATTGACTATACCATTAACCTCTGTTGTACTTGTATATATAATTTTTTTATATCGATCGTTTTAACTATACTTGTATACCTGACCTAGATTGTTGACCCCTGTTCAAATATAATCCTAATGATTATAAAATATGTTTATATGTATGTATATTAATTTCAATATCGACTAATGTTAATAATAGCTCTATTAAATTAGTGCTAGATCGATTTTATAACCACAAGTTTATTCGGAAACCGACAGAATCGTATCAGCTCTAATCAGTGATATTAGGAACGTGAGCGTCTCCAGCTTTTAAACTGAAGTGGATGAGTTCCTCCTTGGGAAATTCACGTATTTCAAATTAGCTGATAACAACTGATTTGTTTTATGGATGCAACGTCACGCCGGGCATAAACAGAACTTAGACGAGATGAATGTGAGACAGGCAATTTATCTCCCTATATACATGTATATTTATACACACTTATACGTGCACATTTTTAAACAGAGGTCAGCCTTGCATACATACAAATTGGTACATATGTATATTGATACATACATATATGTTTGTGTGCCGCTTAAAACAGGTTTTCATTACAGTAAATATATATAAAAAACAAAAAGGCAATACTCTTACCTGCCAAAATCGTAGCTGTCCGCTCCGGCGTGGTTTGGCGTCGAGAGCACCGCGTATACTGCTCCAGAATGGGCGACATTGTTAGTTCCAGTCATGGCGTTGGGTTAAAAATACACAAGAAATATAGCTGGCTTCACTAATTAATTTACGATCAATATGCTGATGTTGAGATTAGATTACACCTCGGTGTATGCTACATCTGATCCATTAGATCGGGCACTGGCACGGCTGCAACAGAGTAGTATACATAGTAGATTCGTCAGTATCAGAACAAAATTAGAAAGCTTTAATTGCCAGCCAATTCGGAGCGTGGTTTAATTGATGCGCGCTCAAATACATTCGCATTGCTGTATAACTGTATAAGTGACTGATTGGCAGCCAAAGGCGTTCCTCTCCCGCATCGAATTTCTATTGGATATTTTGTTGTTATTATTATTTTGCTGATTCCTTGGAATTTCTGTGATTGTTCTGTTTGGAATCGGAGACGCTGCAGTGCATTCGAAGTTGTACCGTTATGCAACTCGTCATGCGGCAAATAAATTATGAAACTAACCAATTGCACGGAGAATCGCTGCTTCGGCAGGGTGCGTGTGGGCTAATAGAGCTCCGTTGGCCATTAGAATTTAAATTTTGTTGTGCCCACCATAAATAAAGAATTTGAAATCTGACTAAAGTGACAAAATCAAAGAAAACAGCTGATTAAAACTAACCGTCGATGAAGCAGAGAGAATGTTGCGCATTCTGCTTGGCGGCGGCGCGACACTCAAATGAATGAGTACCGAAGTGACGTCACAATTGTTAAGTATATGTGCGCTACAAGAACGTCCATCAATTTATTCTTAATATGCAGCACAAAAGCTATGTCTTAATACAAGTAAACAAATTCGAATGGATCTGGTCTATAGCAACAAATGTTTGTCAGAGACACAGATACCTTCTAAAGTGTGACGTCACAGGGAGACGCGTTGAGTGAGTTACTTGTGCATGGCATGTGAGAGACATGTGAGAGCGGCGCAGACAGAGAGCGCATGTGTTACAGAGAGTGTGAGCGAAAGAAATCAAAATAAAACAGTTGTTTTTGTTTACGCAGTGTCTTTTTATTGCCCAAATGGACTCGCAATCAATTGCAGTCGAAATACCCGGAACCCAGTTAATGAATTGCTTATAAGCGAAACGAATGATAACTTGATGAAAATTGCAATGATAGCTTGAAGCTAAATCACTTGAAATGCATTACTGCCCGGTGCATTATGTGAGTCTCATATCAATTGGTTAATTTACATTACTCAGTGGGCGCACAGCTGCTGATACCATTTTTTGCTTTCACGGCAGCGGTTATTGGTGCACATGGGGCAGCGCATTAAGAATTTGGGATTGACTGGCTGCTCAGACTTTAGATGATCGGCAACGATGCTGCTCAGTGCATTTATGAAAAGCGGATGATCGTTGGGCGCAGCAGCGCGACGTATTTCCTCCACACCCACCTCTTTGGCCAGCTCGTCACAGTACTCGATGTCCAGCTCGTGGAGCGTTTCGATGTGTTCGTTCACAAAGGCAATAGGCACAAGTATGAAATTCTTTAGACCCTGTTTGACGTAACCCTGCAAATGAGTTCGGGTATTAGCATCTGTCAAGGAAGTATAATAGCGACTCTTGGTTTACCTTGATGGCATCATCCGTCGCTGGAGCTAGCCAGGGCAACGGTCCCACCTTTGACTGCCAGGCCAAGCTATAGGGATTGCTTTGACCCAATTCCTGCATTACCATGTGCACGCTAGCACCGATTTCAGAGGGATACGGATCACCTCTACTCACTGCCTTGAGCGGCAGCGAGTGCGCTGTAAAGAGTATTACGACATCATTGCGTTTCGTCTCCACAAATTTGGCCAGCTCCTCGCGAATTCGCTGAGCGAAGGTCTTGATGAGCAACGGATGTGTGCCCCAGCGATCGATAATGCTCCACTTGATGTTTTCGGGCAGTGTGCTGCGAATGGGAAACTGGGTTAACTGCCTAACTTTCAGATGATCCATGACCATTTACTTGTTTCGATAGTGGGTGAAGATGGAGTTGAAGCTCGAGCCAGATGTGGCGCAACTGTATTGTGGATACTGCGAGAAGAGCACCACACGTTCCGGCTGGTCACTATGACAACACAAATAGATATATAAATACGTCAAAGGTCTTTGACATTTCCCTCCCAAATTGACCCTTGACTGACCTTTCAATTTGTGCGAGCGTGTCCTCCGTCAAAGGAGTAACGTAGCGAAAGCCGACGTAATGCTTGTGCGGTGCCGTTGTTGGAGACAATTTATCCAGTTGTTCGCACATTAATCGACCCTGCAGCTCAGTCCACTTCAATATGGGAGAGCCGCCTCCGATTTCTTTGTACTTCTTTTGGACCTCCGGCGTGCGACGTTGCGCAATCCATGGACCCAGCCGGCTCTGCACCGGCAGCTGTATCATATCGCGATCCGTCATGATGCGGAGCAGATAGTCATGAACCTGGTCCGTGTGCTGTGGTCCACCCATGTTCAGCATGAGGATTGCAGTCTTCGCCTTCTGACTGCTGTAACGAACGTTGCTTGTGGCGAAATTAGCAGCATTGCCTGTAACTTTAAGAGTTAATTTGATATTACACGGAGGGTATTTAACTACTTACATGCCAGCTTGCATAGACTCCTGTTATGCAAAAACATTGTATGCATCTAATTCAGGCCAACTGCAGCCGGAAATATTTTCGCCAAGTTTTTTGTAAAAAATATATGAGGGCATTAATTATTTCGAATAATAAAATAAATTCGAATTTGACTTTGCTTTTATTTACCTTAAATTTGTAATTTCTATAATGAGTTTGCAATAAGCAGTAATTTATAATAAGATTGAACTCCGGCCAGTTGGAAATTTTATTTAACAGTGGCCACAATAATAACATAAGCTAAATTTGTATCAACATCAATGTTGTTCTGTAAATCTAGTATTTTTCTGTGTAATAAGTTCTTTATATTCCAGCAGAGCTACCAGATGTTTAAAATACCCAACCGGTTGCAGTGTTTTCTAAGCAGCTGATCTGGTCGATAACAATTAGAAACACATGATTGCCAACATCATCCCCAATACGGGAATTTATGAAAAAATGTTGCTGCTAAGCATTAAATCGAATAATGTTAATTAACAGTTTTCTGTTGAAGTTCTGTTAGCTTTTCATTGAATTAGTTCTCTTTAGCCATTTGACAGCGGATTTAATTCAAATTCAAAATGAGCTTGCATATAATTATAATATAAAACACAATATTTGTAGTCTACTAATATATCAAATGATTTTCCAATTTCGAAGGACTAAAAACCAATGATTATAAAATTCAGGCACACTGCCAATAACATTGTAGCAAAATGTTAAGCTTTTAGATACCAAACACATAACATAAAACAAACTGTGCTAGCGAATTGTAACGAACGACARTCAGGGACTCAGTTCGTTCGTTCAGTTTAGTGAGTCATTGCCGCTCATCAATCAATCAATCAATCATTCAAATTGTTGAAGCCTAAGCAAATAGAAAAAATAATAATAAAATAAAAAAACAAACAATAAAACATAAAAATACAAATACAGAAAATCTAACGCGAGTGCAGTGATGCAAATAGCTTTATTAAAAACAACAACCACAAGTGCCCTAAACAAAACGCTGTCAGCCGCCCCCAAGTAAAGCAAACCAAAAAAAAAAAAAAAAAAGACCCACACGAGCTAAGCGTGAGGGACTTTGAACGGTTACGACTCTGATGGTGGTGGATTACCGTGGGGTGGGTGGCTAGTGTTATCGTCTTTGCTCGCTCTCGCCCACAAATTGCCAGCAGCGGCAACTTGCTCCAAATTTGTAGATCATGCGCAATAGGAGTGACTCGCTGAAACGCTCACTGGTTCGCTCATTGCCCAAACAGGATATTTTATTATACTGAAATTCAAACCCACACACACATATAAGTTCATACATACAGATGCGTGCTGAGCTGCGCTCTTTTAACGTACGAGTACCGCAGGAAATTCGCATATTCAGGCCAAAAGCATTGCGCTCGTAGTAAAACGCGGCTCATAAGCAAAAGCTCCGCACTGCCATTCGGACGCATTCCGTTGCCTGCTCCCACTTACACATTATCACGCGCTCCCACATAGAAAAAGAAACACACACACACACACACACATAAAACATACACTCGCACACACGCGTAGCCGTTCCTACATGCATTCACACATACACGTGCAAAAATCAATTGGTCGCAGTTAAAAGAAAAAATCGGTTAACTAAAAGGGATTTTTGGTCAGAAACGCGTTGTTTTTGAGGCCCTGGCTGCCAAATAATGTTGAAATTGACTGTGAAATGTGCAAAAGCGAGAAAAGCGAAAAAAGCTCACAAGTTACGCAAAAAATGCAGCAGCATCGCAGCCGCAGTAGCAGCAGCAGCGAGCAAAATGTGAAACGGAAACGAGCAAACGAACAATGTTAAAAGTGCAGAGGATCGAAGGATGCATCCGAGTGCCTCCACAGTGCCATTGACCACCACCGAACCAGCAATTTGTCATTAACGCCAACGCAAGCATCAGCAACTGAATTGCTGCCACGGCATCATCAACTGCAACGGCAACTGCATCTGCATCTGCAACTGCAACATCAACAGCAACAGCAATTGCAATTGCATTTGCATTCGTATCTGCAATATAGCCGCAAAAGCCTTGCCAACTGCACCTGCATCTAACGCTGTTCCCCCGCCGGCAACCACCCCACAGATGCTGTCCTTGTTGTTGTTGCTGTTGCTGCTGCTTGTGATTTTGAGTTTTCATAACTAAACGGTGAATTTCGTGCGGCTAGCAAAACGACGAACAGACATCCAGGCAACCAGGCATCCAGGTATCCAGGCATCCGGGCATCCAAACATCCAGTCAGCATCCATCAGGCCAGGCAACGCAGTTTAGGTAAGATAAGCGACTATCAGAAATGTATCATAAAATAATCGAAATATTATCAAATTGGGATAGAAAGGGTAAAGGTTAGGAATTGAATGGAATTCGATTTCTGTCGAGGTCAACATAGTCTCCATTAAATATAATACACTTTTATCTACGTTTTTGGCTAAAAATGCTGATTCAATTTTATATTGAAATACATATTGAATATTGAAAATTCTTCATATAGTTTTTGTAACAAGAAATATACATATATGATTATACTGAAGTAAAAGTAGTTCCAATTCGATAAGATACATCATATTTGTGAATATTAACTTCTTGTTATCTACTACTACCTATAATGAACTATATTAACCATCTAATTGGAAAAACTATAAACTAGTTTTTTCCTTAAATCCAATATGGAATAATATATTATTATTGACATATTATTATAATTTAATATATTAGTATATTATATCATATAATAATTCACAGACTACAAAGAATAATATAACTTCTGAATATATAACCATCTCGAAAAACAATGAGCAAATATAAACGCTGTCCACGATATTAACAATCAACAGAACATGCTTAATGCTCTAGTGCTTTACGCTCGGCCTCATTTGGGAGTCCAGCCAATGCCACCCACATCTAGTTTCCTAGCAGCCACATTGAAAAAGTTGAGAGCTTTGCTCCAATTTTACAAGAAAAGCGGAAAAATCATTTGAACAAAAAACTGTCGAAATTCTAAAAAAAAAAAAAAAAAAAAAAAAAAATTAGGAATACTTTAACGTTCACAGCATTGAATGCAAAGTTATGATTTCAAATGTTATAGAACATTTGCAACATTTTCAACTCAAATAAAAAATATTGTGACAAGTTTTCGTCTTTTCTGAAACTTGAGGGAAGAGAATGAAAGTTGCTCGAATTAGCCGCTTTTCTGAATTTCCATTGTTCAGAAAACCATTGTTATAGAAAACATAAGATTGTCTAGCTCGATGTATTTAACATTAAGTATCATTAGAAACTTTTCTGTTAAGTGAAGAAATTGAACTTGGAATTCGCAGAGACTTCAGCTACAGCTTCAGTTCTCAGAATTCCATATTTATAAAAGACTTAAGATTGTCAGTTCGGCTATTCTAAGTAACATTAGAACTTTTTGCTTCGCCCTTTTAAGTATGCAAAGAAAATGAATATATATTTCATTGTTGTTTAACAAAGGCTTATATACACTATATGATCTTTTTTTCCGTATCTATCCCTATTATTTTTCTCAAAGGCATGCAATCTCTTTTAATTTCCTTATTTTTTGTTGCTCTGCAAACCACAAACATCCCATTATTTTACCTTTACAATGCCGTTTGGCCAGACATGCGCCAGCCTCCAGAGATGCATTTGGGCCCACAGACGTTGTATTAGTGAACAAATTGGTTGAAATTAGTTTGACCATTGGCCATGCTCCATTAGCAACTGCCGGTTGCCAATTAAGCCGGTTGCTGTGGTTGCCACTTTTTTCCTAGACCAACTTCAAGGTGATAATTCCCATAGGTGCGCTGCCGGTCTAGACCTGCTGCCTGTAGCCATGGTGCATGAGCTGGGTGATGGGCAACGGGCGATGGGTTGATGGGTGTGCCACTGTCGTCCTTTGGTGACTGGACGGCTGTGTGTCACTTCGCTTTTAGGCTGGTGCCGTCTCTCATGGCCAGCAGTAAATGCAACGCGGTAAAAGCATAGCCAATATTGTGCAAAGGTTGGGCCAAGCCATCCATATATTGAAGTATGTGCTATAGAGCACCCTCAAAGAAGAATAAACTTTACTGCAGCAGACAGACTATGTCAATATGACTTCTTTTTGGTAGTATGAAGCTTTGATTGTAGAGAACTGATAGACAAAACAGAACAAGTTTAGGCCAATACTGAGAAATATTTAACCTATTGCTTATATGGGTTATTATTATTGTTTTTATGTTTACTATTTTATGCAATACAATGGATCGTTTTCTCAGAAGCAATTAATTGTTTTTCACTCTCTAGCACGATGCTATGGCATGCATAGGCATATGCAATTTTGAAGATCGGGTGTATTAGCAATTCAAGCAATTCGTATATATGTATACTTATATGTATGTAATATATATACCAAGTTTATAGTTTTTACCCTCACAGCCTGACTTTCATCTGCGAAAGAGTTTATTAATACAAGACAGAATTTCATATTTGGTTTAATAATTTTTAGAGTCATACAATTTAATATACTTATATATACTTATTTTAAATTGTTACATATTTATATTTTGTATATATATTGAAAATTATAAAAAGAAAAGATTTTATTTATTGATAGAGAAAAACATTAAATTATCACAATTCAATTCTTATCTGAGCAGCTCAATGTCTAAGAGCTTTCAATATTTGGCCAGAGCAAATATTGTTATTGATTCGTTGCTGTTTTTTATTATTTGATAAATGCTTTGCTATTTTTGTTACGGTCCACGTGGACGGCGCTTTATCAAACAGTTAGGCCAACCATCCATACTCACCCACGCCCACCCACTCCCACACCCACACAGTGGCATTTGAAAGTAACTTGGGCTGTGCGAAAGCGAAAACACAGTTGAAGCGAAATTTATGATGTCATTTGGCATGCGTGTACGAAAATGTGAATGTCTGTCTGCCTGTCTACTAAAAGAGTTGCTGTAATAAATGTTGCTATTGTGACTGTTGTTGTTGTTGTTGTTGTAAATGTTGTAGGTCCCATCAACACCCGAAGACATTTTTCTTGGCTGATTGCTGCATTTTGTCGCCATGTTGTTGCTGCTTTGACACAAAGTATCGTGTAGCTCCATTTGCATGTCACTGCCGCTGCTATTATTCTCACACAGACAGAGAGACAGAGACACACACACACTCGCACACATAGAGCAGTCAGAGCTTGTCTAGAAATTATGAACAAAAAATGTTGCATACCAACGGGCGCAGCTGAAGTCATTGAATGGTGCCTGGCTGTTGGCATTGTTGCAACGGAAGCTGCTGAGCAGTTAGTTGTCATGGCGCAGCTGGACTCATACACACACAGACGCACACTCACACACATATATACAGACAGATATGGCCTTAGGTACGGCATAGGAGCAGCATATTTAAATGTCCTCTGCACTATTGCAACATTTTTCATTGCAAACTGTAAATGCAGGAATGGGAAAATGGAGGATTAAGGACGTACTCTCGGCACAAACTGTTTTATGGCAACAAAATCTCAGTTGGAGTCGTAGGCTAACTGCCAGCCACAGAGCTCCATTGGCCCAGTTCGTGCAACGTGTCCGCCACGACGAAGACGACGACGACGAAGGAGACGTTGGCAGACGACATCATCATGGCAATGGCTAACTCTAGCCATGGCAACTGAGCTGCTGGCACAGACTGCACAGACTTCTCCTCCCGATGATGCTGCAACTGCTACTTAATTAAAAATTCTTTGACGCTGATTTACCGTTGCGGTTGCAAGGCTTTTGACAAAATCATATGCAGAAACATAATCCGAAGTTGCACTCTAATCGGCTAAGTTGCTGCAGCTAATAGTGTATATTTGTATTTTCTCCGGGGATTTGCAGCCTTAGTGCAATAAATCCGGAGAGTGAAATAATCGTCGCATATAGTGTGCGGCGGAGAATGTTTGTATAGATGGTGTATAAACGGTTGCACAAGTTCTCAGCTAGGAGCATGCCTTGCCCTTGTGTTTCTTCTGGATCTGAAAGTTGTTGCCTCGACCAGGCAACTGGAAATGCTTTTTAATTAAAAATTATATCAACATTCATTCCAGCTGCCGGGCGATGGCAACAGTTGGGGACGCCAGCAGAGCTCCTGCTTGGATAATAGTTGTTAGAGCAACATGAATATGATTCTTTTGTTATGCAGATGGAACATCATTTCAAGTGCCAAGAACGAGCACAGACAAACACACAGACACAGACAGAAAGTAGAATAATAAATATATACATTTCACTTAGCTGGCATATCGATTTAAATTGTAATTAAAATAATCGAATCTCCATTTTACAACAAAAGCAGGCAACTGTAAAAGTTAGCTGATTGGATTTGATGAGAAACCTACAATAATCAAGAATTCGCTTCAATGAGCATTAGCCAAGGAGAGTAAAACATTCTTTCCTTTATGTGGGTTTAGTTACTACATATAGTTGTAAATAAGACTCGGGGTTGAAATTTTTAAATTTATTTTTTGCTTAAAACGATTTTTATTATCTTAATACTTATGCTGCTTGTGGCTTGGCTAAACACTTTCAATTTATTTAATAGGCATGCTTGGGGGGCATAATTCTCGGACTTACTTTTCGTTCCTTGAATGAGCTCCATGCAGAGCTAAACTAATGAGAGCGATCTATGCTGATTGTTAACTAGGGATCTATGCTGCATTCAAATTTATTTATACTTAAAGTGTGATCGTTGCGTCGGTAATTCAGAGTTTATGGGTGGGATATACTCAGAGAGGTTTGAAGAAACAAACGATTTATGTTCGTCGCTCAGTCAATTGTCTCTATGCTCAGTCATAATCATCCAATCCAATCATTCTATTTTCATGAACATTTTCCCATGTGGCGAAAAATTGCGACTAAGTATTTCCATTTAGTATTTACTCTAACCGATCCCTCTAAGTCTTTAATATTAGCCTAACGATCATTGAATTTGCACACATTTCTCTTCTCTTCACTTCACTTTACTGCTCTACACGACTGAACCCCACCAGGCCCGGGCGACTGACTGAAGAAATGCTACAGCTGCTGCCCTTTATATAGGGCCACTTTCACTCTCTCTATAAGTCGCTCTCAAATGGTGAGCCCGATAGCAGGTAGAAGACGTAGCAGTCGAACTTTAAGTGACCAATGGGAAGACTCTCTGCTGCTGCAAGCATTCTAGCTTTGTTTTACTCAATTATACATACGAACTGCATACTGCTGCGGACATATAATTGATCTTTCGTCGGTCGGTACAAAACGTTGCCTTTTAGAGGCATACAGACTGAGAGACAAGCGGAGAAACAGACAGGGATACATACAAAGAGACATATATAGAGACACTCTTACGAATATACAGACAAACTAACACGCATAATTAAATAGGATTAACTCATTACGCTGCTCAATAATATATGTATATGGTTGATAAGGCTAAATGTTGCTAGGCTAAATAGTTTATGTATATAATTATTAGATGGCATAGACAGCAGTTTTTTTCTGTTCTATAGTTATATTAAGGGCATACATGCCTGCATATTCTGGATTCAATCCTATACATATTTATTATTATTATTATGGCTTTTCATCACAACATTCAAATACGCTAGATGGAGCCTGAAATAGGCTAAATGGGCAGCACTGGTATGCGCATCTATGTAAATAATATGCAAAATGTTTATTTTTTGTTTACTGTGCTTGAAATCTTTACGGACTTGAAATATCATTTAAACTTCAATCGAATATCGCCATATACATATGTATGTATATGTCTATATTAAGCCATAGTTTGTAAGGACTACATACATTTTAGACTATGAAGTACTTCCTCTTACCCCCTCTCCACTTTTAACAAACAACTAATTGTCTTGACTTTAAACAGAGAAAAAAATAACCCGAATTGGAATCAGTCATTCCATAGTGTGTCGTTGAATTCAGGTGTTAAAGGATACAACCTGCTAGAGTGAGTTTGTGTGCTTCAGTTTATTTATGTATGAGTGCCTCGTATACGTGAAAGATTAACTTTCGTCCAGCTCACGCCCAAGTGCTGCTAATGGATTGGGTTTATTTGGAAGAACTTAGCTTAATTAGATTTACATAAGCCCTGCCGAAACACGCTGCAAGATATGCGAGTATGATTAGGTTTGTTAGTACACTGCAATTAGAGTTGATTCGCTTTGGCGCTGTTATTGGGATTAAAAATAGATTTCTTATGCAACAGTTGCAGGCAGCACAGCCATAGCCCCGTCCGTGGCACAATTTGATTACAATGCTCTGAGAGCTGTGCAAACAACGCATTATCGGAGCTGTGAAATCAGACAGCTACTCGATATGCGAGTGGACGGTGGACTATGGACTGAAGGACTGTACTACTGTAGGACTGGCTGTCTAAGGGCTGTCTGTCCTGCTGCTCGTATTGGGCGTCTAGCAGATGGCAAGATGGCTTCAATGGTTGTCAGGCAAATGCATATGACACATGTCGGAGCAGCCACAACTCAAAAGTAAAGTGTTTCAAAGTGCTGTTGCCTGTCAACTGCTGCCTGCCTGCCTGCCAGTAGAGCTTCATTAAGTTTAGGACACGCTGGTACAGTGTTGAGCTGAGTTCCGCAAAGGCATGCAAATTGCGTTTGCTTGCTGACAATTAGGTGACAGTAAATACTTTCTGATGAGTTTGGCATTGTCAGACGCAACGCTCATTTGTTTTCACAGTCTGAGAGAGTCTGAGGCGCTCTCAGTCGGGGAATGAGGGAATCCAAGGCTATAGGGATGTAGTGTTGTCTTAGCCTGAGAGCATCGCATTTTGATAATTTCAAACTACAAACACATTTACTATTTCACTAATTATGGAAACTTTCTTTCTCTCGGTCTCTTTCTTTGCAGCACTACTATACGAGCAACGAATGAATCGAACTTGCATTTTATATATAGACTAAGCTAATGAATTTTCGTAAAATTAAGTCGATAACGCGATCACGCCCCTGGGCACTTTTCTCGAGACTTCAGCCAGGGCCACAAATGCCCCAACTGTAGCAGCAGAAGACAGACTTTCCCCATAAGGATCCCCACTCATAAATGCAGTGGAAGAAGAAGTTTACTCGATTGAAAGCAGCTACTGGAAATTCGCGTGTGCGAAGAATGCTTTGTTGTGGACGTAGAAAGGTGAGTTCCAATATCGATATCAGAAAACTACCCCAGAATCATATATTATATATTGGTAAAGTAGAGCACTCGAAAGTATCTGTAATTATTAACAATAAACCTGGGTTTATTGCTAATTTAAACTTTATTTGGGTAAATAAATAATTATATACCATTGAAAACAGAACGATTATTCACCTAAAAGTCATATATTTTATTACTACAATTTAACGTCGTAAAGCTGGTAATCGCTGTTTGTGTTTAAAAATAATTATTATGGGTAGCATAAAAACTGTTTATGATTTGCATATAGATTCCATAAAAACAATACTTTAATTGGTATACAAATAAAGAAGTAGCTTGAAATTGCAATGGGATCCCATTTTGTTTTTCCGATTTACACAGAAATTCAAACTATCGAGAATTATCCAGAATGATTTTTTTTCAAGGGGATAGAATTTTTTTTTCGCATTTGCGATTTTCGATTTAGGGAGATACAATGTATATTCTTTAAAAAAATGCTGAACCTTTAGAAGCAGAGAAATAGATATACGAATCATATAAATTGTGCGTTAGGGAACAACTACAAATATATTTGATGTACATAAAAACATTCTGCGAATATTTTAAAACAAATTAAATTTTATATATTATTTGCAATGATTTTCTATCACGCAACAGCAGCCTGATATTATACAAAAAACGTAGAGCAATTTTGGCTCTGCTCGTGTAGGCGAGGCTGATAGCTGAGTTGAGGGGGTTGTTTGATATTGAGATGGAAATTAAATGAAGCGAATCGATGACCGGTATAACCTCTGGAGTATTTCATCTTGCGTGAAAGTAGAGTTTCTTTTGATTTGATGCTGATTGCTTGTTTATTCTGTATTCGACTAAGGATGCGCTGTTGAGTAAATGCCACTCATGCCAGCAATAGGTATCTAATATCTAGAATAGAGACATGTCTAGTTTTGTATATCACTAACATGCTAATATTATATTCTCAGATTTCATTAATTCCTGCCTAGCTATTTAATACACTCATTAACGCATTATGTATTTCTAGTAGTCAATCAACTAAAATCAACTTATTTCATTGTCAGATCCATATTGAACGCTTCACTTTCAATACCGCATGACTGCAAAATCTGATTAACATATTTTGGGGTCGCGCCTTGGGATGGGGTTTTGTGTTCGTACGTAACTCGATTTAATTATGTACATATAATTATATACCCGTGTACAACGTATCGTGTGTCAATATAATGTGCGGTGCGCCATGAGCCATGCTGAAACTTAATTGAAGTTGCGTCGCTTTTAAATTATATTTTTGGCTTGCACAACTTAATTTGGGCCAGCCATGTAACTGAACTTCAATCAATATGCTTAATTAAAGGGTAATCGTGAAAATAATTGATAAACCTGTTCACTGAAACTAAATCTGATCAAATTAAGCTAAGAGCCAAGAGCATCACCTCGCAACCGTAATGCAGGAGTGCATCGAGCCCATCCCGCCTCTTGCAAGGATGGCAAACTCTACCCAACCGACTTCTAATTAAAGCACTTAAAAGTGCTTTTTGCTAATGCTGGCAGGCGCCACCTCTCGTCGTCACAAGCTGTACTCGATGCATCCTGGCAGGAGTGCAGGTAGACGAGACGAGGATTTGTTGTCAGTTGCTCAAGTGAATTTGTCAACTATGAGCAGCCGAGAAGCTCCACTTGAAGGCATTAACAAAGCTATGACAAACACTGGGTGGCGGCAGGCAGCCTAGCCTTCCACCCTTCAAGCTGTGCCAACTAAAGCCAAGCGGCAGAAATCGTTTCTACTTAAGCCAGCTACCCAGTCAGCCAGCTAGTGAAAAACCAACAAAACTTTTCAGTCACAAAGTCAAAGGCGTTGCGTCTTGGGTCCTACAATTTCCTCAAGATGCAGCTGCGAACGCATTTAGACCGCAGCAGTGGGGGGAGGGCGTGCCGCCCACAAGCAGTGCATACAATCGATTATTTGATGAGAGTACATTAACTTTGATATGGAGTTGACAGTAATTAACATAAAGTTTAAACCATAACATAAGAGTTTAAATTTGGGCGTTGTGAGCGAGTTGAGAGTTGATTTAAATATTTTACTTATAAAATTCGATTTTTATACCCTGTACCCATATGAATATAGGAATATCATAAATATTTCCACTTGTTTTATAGATTCCGATAAATAATATCGAAATCGATAAATATTTATCGAACTCGATAAATAGCTATCTCGCAGCATTCAGCTTTTGTCATGCATCTGCCTTCACTCTAGTTTTCGCCAAATTCACTAGAAGAGTTGGCCCATAGTTTCAGAAGCACATGTTTCATAATGCCAATAAATAGTTATCGGAATCGATAAATAACTATCTAAATCGATAAATAACTATCGAAATCGATAAATAGGTATCTCGTAGCACTCAGCTTTTGTCATGCAGCTACCTTCACTCTAGTTTTTGCCCATTCACTAGAAGAGTTGTCCCACTGTTTTAGAAGCATTCATGCATGGGGCTATGCTCTTTTTCTGAACGAGCAAAATATGATCAATATTTCCACATGAAGCACCTTTCAGCAAATATCGTAGCATTCAGCTTTTGTCATGCAGCGTTTTTTACTCAAGTTTTAAGCAAATATGATTAATATTCTCAAGTTTCAAGCAAATATGGTTAATATTCCACATGTTTCACAGATGCCGATAAATAGCTTTCAAAATTGATAAGTAGTTACCGAAATCGATGTTGTACGATTGACGTACCTTACTTCGAGGCTTGTAGCATTCAGCTTTTGTCATGCAGCTGGCCTAACTCATGTTTCATGTTTTGTTTATGCCACATTCACTAGAAGATTTGTCTCAATTCATTTTTAAGGCTATGCCTTTTATTTAGCGAGCAAATTCGATCAATACTTGCACATGTTTCATAGATGTGCCAACCATCGAGTGTCATATCATTCAGCTTCTGTCATGCAGTCTCATCGCACTTAGCTTCTGCCAAATATGCTCAATATGTCCGTCCACATGTTTCATAGATGGCGATGAATAGTTATCGAAATCTATAAATAGTTATCGAATCGATAAACAGTTATCGAAATCGATAGATAGTTATCGAAATCGATAAATAGTTATCGAAATCGATAAATAGTTATCGAAATCGATAAATAGCTATCTCGTAGCATTCAGCTTTTGTCAAGCTTCACTCTAGTTTTCGCCACATTCACAGAAGAGTTGGCCCACTGTTTCAAAGCACATGTTTCATAGATGCCGATAAATAGTTATCGAAATCTTAAAATAATTATCGATATCGATAAATAGTTATCGAAATCTTAAAATAATTATCGATATCGATAAATAGTTATCGAATCGATATCTCGTAGCATTCAGCTTTTGTCATGCAGCTGCCTTCACACTAGTTTTCGACACATTCACTAGAAGAGTTGGCCCACAGTTTCTGAAGAACATGTTTCATAGATGTCGATAAATAGTTATCGAAATCGATAAATAGTTACCGAAATCGATAAATAGTTATCGAAATCGATAAATAGCTATCGAAATCGATAAATAGTTATCGAAATCGATAAATAGCTATCTCGTAGCATTCAGCTTTTGTCAAGCTTCACTCTAGTTTTTGCCACATTCACTGAAGAGTTGGCCCACAGTTCCAAAAGCACATGTTTCATAGATGCCGATAAATAGTTATCAAAATCTTAAAATAATTATTGTAAATGGTTAGCTTCTGCCATAAAATCGCAAGAAGATCTAAATTAAGAACATTTATATTTTCGTGAATCATGAATATGTTTCTATTTCATAGCAATGAATTAATATTATTCAGTCATCGGGTCTTGTAGCAGTCAGCTTTTGTCATGCAGCTGCCCCAACTCAAGTTTCATGTTTTGTTTTCTTCACATTCTCTAGAAGAGCTGACCACAGTTTCATAGGGCTATGCCTTTAATTTAGTAAACCAGTTAAGAGCAGTTGATTTTCCTGAACTTCACTTATCAAACCAATATATAGACCTAATAGTATTTTGTTAAAAAGTAATTCTTTAATAAAACCATACGAAACTTCTCTTTATCAATTTCTTCAGAAAAGTTGATTTACTCAAAATGCTCACATAGATTGATAGGAGCTTTCTATTGAATAAAATATGATATATGTAGGATTCGCACTAATTTTTTTTTTTTTTTTTTGTGAATGAAAATTGTCAACCCTTTTCTGATTATCACTCGATCTACAAGAACATCTTAAAAACGAAAAGTACACGTAATTAAATCATATATATTATATAATTCATTAGCAATGAATACAATAAATATGTCATATCGAATATTAAATCAGATCCAAAAGTGAATGAGAATTCATAGTAGAAAAAATCATTGAATTAAGAGTGAATGGAAATTCAATAATTCAACTCTTGTAGTCGTTTTGCAGAGTATACGATGTTCATTGTTTCGCATAAAACTAGTTGTTGTTCAAATTTTCATTTATGCCACGAATAAACTTTGACTTGCTGCAGCCTTCAAAAACTTTAACAAATAAATTAATTTAGTCGCTGAGTTGGCGCGCAGCAAAGCTTGCGAACCCGACGAGCCCGGCGAGTCTTGTGAGCCTGGTGAGCATGGGAGTTGGCCTTTGCCGCGTGCTGGCTTCGCTCGATAGTTGGGATGATCGTCCTGCGGGAGTCTAGCGGATAAATAATTGAATTTACGCTTGCGGCATATTTAGCTGTGCCTGCATTTGTTTTAAATTGCATTTTCTTGGCTGCTCCTTTTTGCAGTGGCAACGAGCTGGTTGCTCTTTGCTGCTGCTGCTGCTCTTGCTGCTGTTGCTGCCACAATTTATTTTCATTATTTTTCCTTTTCTTTGATAAGCTGAACGTCAGGCCTGTGCAAATTGATTTGTTAAACAATTTTTAATTGAAATGTAACAGCAGGAGCAGCAGCAGCAGCAGGCAATATGTCGAAGTTTGATAGCATCAAGCAGCGCCTGCTGCATCTGT